TGTTTCTGTGCTTCCCCGTGGGTTGGCACTCATTTTTTTCTGAATCACATTGTGGGAAAGTATTTGAATTAAAATGCTTCTTAATTAACTACGTGTTGGAAAGAAATGAAGCATAAGCTTGCTCCCCTGTCCATGGTTGTTTGTCAGATTGAATATTCACCTCAGGCCTACATTACGGTGTCACACCTGCTCCTCTGGGCCACTTTACTTGGGATTAGTTTCAATTCCCTCTTAGAATAGGTCACAGGTCAATACTTGTCAGTAATGTCACTGGTAAACCAGTGCTTCAAAAGAAGCCACCAATGACCTTGTGGTGCTGTTAAAGGGGCCTAAAAAGTTCAAATGTTTTTACAAGTTTCAATCTATTTCTGGATCATGCTTTTAATACTCCACTCATTAGTGAGGGTGCTTTGGTCAAAGGACATTATCATACAAAGCTAAACATCCACATGCCAACTTGTTGCAATGCTGCCACTCAGAGGATATCAGAGGTACACACCTATGTGACACATGCTTACCAAAACCTACTAAACTTCAGACGATTTCATTAGTGAAGTTATTTTGACAGCAGTAGCAAGCCCTAACCCCAAATGCACTAAAATGGAACCTTTTTCACAAGACTAGATTAATGACGTAACTTTGCTTGAAAGAGATTATTAGCTTGAAATTAAATTATTGGAAGAAAGGAGTGACAGGTGAGAGAACAGAGTGAAGTAGAACATGCAAATGGAGGAGGATCTGATAACAACTGAGGTATTCCCCTGATGGGAGGGTTTTACATCTCTACCATCTAACCGGCAAGCGTGGAGTGATTCTCCTAGAAAGCACGCTCGTGCAGGAGACAGCAGAGATAAAGAGCTCCCCCCCCCCCCCCCCTGCTCTCATCCTGCTGGCCCCTCTTTACTCTGCTTTTTGCGGTTGCCAGCTGCTCTCCACGAGAGACACTATCTGCATCTTCCTCTTTCCCTGATAATGCCGAGAGGATATCCGGGAGCTGCAGCACCACAGTGAGTCTAGCAGCTGATTCACGCTGATTCACCCTCATGGCAGGTGGGACTGTGTCTCCACTGTGATGATACAGCAGAGCACAGTAGGTAGCGAACAGAAGCAGAGAGATCTGCGCTAGTAGCGGGTGCAGTTTGGGGAGTTTTCTTTTTCTCCACAAGGACTTTTCTTTCAGAGTGAGAGTGGGGTGAATAGATACAGACTGTGTGGAGAGTGTGTTTACCAATTGTGATGTGAGTTGTAGAGCAGCTTGGAGCCTAAGTGTGTTGCTATTTGTGTAAGAAAGAAAGAGAGAGGTGTTCACACCACATAGCCTTGCCCCTGCTGCCCCTTGCTTGCTGGACTTGGCCCCGTGTTGGACAGGGATTACTCTGAGCCTCTTGTTCTGCTAAAGAACAAATAATAATAGAGCATGCCAGGGCTGAAGTGTGGACTCCAGTGTTGCAGAATTGAGGGAGAGCGAGAGGTTTATGATTTGAGCTGCAGTGCTGTTTTACCTGCATATTTCTTTTGAGAAGCCCTGGCTAAAACATAAACCAGGTCGCCACCCTATTCTCATTTTCCTCTTCATTCACGGTTAAATGTGCCCAATTTAATTCTCTTCTGTAAAGGTTTATGCACAAGTAAAATGAGTGTTCACAAAACTGCTATTTCTGCTTTATATATAGTTGTAAATGGTAATAGAATAGGTAAAAGGTGATGGACGAGGTGGCATCTTTTATCACATTTTAGAGTTGAAGTGTTGTTAACTTAGTAGTGACACTTGATCTCTACATGTAAACACTGCTACATTAAGGAAAAGCCCTCTTGAGCCTCTCCTCAAGTAGGGATGCCACTCATTCTTTCTCATCTTTATCTCGCCCGATGGAAGCATAAACTTAACTTGACCTGATGGCCCTGTAACATATGGTGTAAGCAAGTGGTGTAAGGCAGTGCCTGTTTGTGGGAAAGAATGTACTTAAAGATTGATCTGTTGGTTGTTGGAACCTCTGTCAGGATAAGTGCTGTATGTAACTGTGTTAAGAGCTGTGAACATCTCTGTTAAGAGGGGAATGTTTTTCTGACCCTTCCATCTTTTGGTCTGAGGAAATATTAATAAATCTCTGTGAATGCTACCAAAGAACACATATTTTGTGTTATATTGTACTGTGATTTGTTGTATTTGGCTACTTTGGTGCCAGTGGTTTATATTAATCATTGTTATAGTATATTCTTAGAATGTGTAATATAAGAAAGTGAAGTGACACATTAGGAGCTTTTTGTATGGTGTGAGTTTGGCTTTGTTATGATCTAACTTATTTTTTATTTAAAAATAAAAAACCCTGAATAACTTCTTAATCACCATGTATGTTGGTTGAATTGGGATTTATTTATGCATCAACTCATAACTTTAAGTTTGTTTCTGTTGACATAGTAGGTCATTTATAGCTTGGTATTACTGTATCCATGTTGCCATGTTTACACCATATCTTTAAGATGCTTTTGACTCACAAGTCAAAAAACAAGTTGCTGATTAGAACTGCTGCTGCTGTGAATGATTCAGGGAAACTGTACCCAAATCTCAAATTCACATCAGGGTAAGGTAGAACTTCCATAGGGTTGAAGACATTAATCTAGAAGCAGAGATTATTTCAAAGTGTTTCTTGTTTTCACCTTGAGTAATGTAATAAGACAACTAATGATGTATACACAGTCACTATAGAGCATCACATTTGTGACATTAGATTGTAGTATCTACATGTGACAGTGAAAACAAAGTGGATTCTTCAGTATATTAAGTAGAAAGCTGTGTGATTCAGTTCCTCTGCAGCAAGAGTTCATTTTCCCCTTTGGGACAATATTGTCACAAGTGTGGATGGTAGCTTGCTTTCAGCAAACAAATGGACCTTCTGTGCTGCAGTGTTTGTAGACTAACTGGGGATGCTGCAAATTCCATGACAAATAGTTCGGAAGTAATGCGGCTAAAACAAAAGCCTCAAAGAATGCAGATTCCTAATTAACAGGGGATGCTGGTGCACTGCTGTATGTGCCCAGTGCAGCTCAGCAAATTATGAGTTGTTACCAGGAACAAGCCTGGCCCTGCCTGTGTGTGTGTGTGTGTTATGTGTGTGAGATTCTGTGTGTGTGTGTGTGTGTGTGTGTGTGTGTGTGTGTGTGTGTGTGTGTGTGTGTGTGTGTGTGTGTGTGTGTGTGTGTGTGTGTGTGTGTGTGTGTGTGTGTGTGTGTGTGTGTGTGTGTGGTGTGTGTGTGTGTGTGTGTGTGTGTGTGTGTGTGTGTGTGTGTGTGTGTGTGTGTGTGTGTGTGTGTGTGTGTGTGTGTGTGTGTGTGTGTGTGTGTGTGTGAGAGAGCTGTTTTACATGGATGTATGATTGTTTAATTGTGATGGTATGTTGTTTGTGCATGCAAAAATACTGAGCATCATTCCTGTTTAGTACTCCCTCTTGAACTTTTCTTCAATGTCAACTCATAAATCTTTTCACCCTGCTCAGTTCCTCTCCCCCTCCTTTTGCTGCATGGTTTTGCAGTGAGGCACCACCTTTTCTGGATTTCATTCTGCACCTTTATAGTCCTGACATTTTGCAACTGCCCCCTCAGAATTTTCACCTCTTAATTCTGGATAAATAGTCATTTATTTACCTATGGTACAATTAATATAGAGGTAGGGTAAATACTGTTTATCTTAACTATTAATTTACCTTTACCACGGTGTATGTTTGAGAAAAAGCGACATATGGATTTAGCCTCTGCAGAGCAGCATTATTTATTCTATGGCTTTACTGTAGCTGTATTTCAAAGCTTCTGTTGAAGAATAGTGTTTTTTTCTGCTGTGATAGATTGTGGATGATGGTGATGGGAAAAAAAGGGTTATGGGGAATAAAAAAAACGCAATGACAAACGCCAGGCTTGAAAGAATAATAGTGCAGTTCAGTATATTATCACACACTGTCCCACTATCCATAGTTTCAAGCCACCTGAATGGGACAAAGAAGTCAGATTATACTCATGTTGTCCACCTGAGTATGAAACACACAGGTCTTTGTTGATAGATGTATAAGTTCTGCTAGATGTTTCCATACAATTACACTGTATAATGTATTTGGTTTTTAAAGCTCTGTATAATGTATATACAATTTATATATGCAATACAATTCCAACAGTATCTCAAGTGTCAAAGTTCCAGGGAATAATTGATGGCAGTACTGAGTAACAGTGGCAGCTAACTGAGAGCCATCCACCTTGCAGGCACTCTGCAGTAGAGCGGTTTTGTGTTAAACTTTTGAGAAACTAAAGAAATGGAAAGCCAAACACAACGAACGATTGAAGCCTGAGCTGAAATGATGGTAGATGAAAAGGTTCGACATGGGATCACTGCTGTATTTCTATACAAACCACAACAAACACATTCTAACTACAACTTACGGAAGAAATGTGCTTCAATGTGTCCGACCAGAGGTTGTTTCTGGCTGTAGACCCTTATCAGTGTATTTGACAAATGATAAATGTATAGAAATAGCTCACTTCGCTCTCGCTCATTTTCTTAGATTTAGTTGTAAACAGTAGAAAAACCCAAATCATGTCCTTGCCTAGTCACGCATGAATATATGATAGACAACAAATACAAGTAGAGTCAAAGCCTAATATATTAAAGTCCAAACACCATCACCAGCCCCCCTAGCAGCTTGTCTGTTTGGTATTCTATCCTGTGACAGTAACATGCATAAATGCTCTTGTTAAAGCAATGAATGGGCTCATCTAACAGAAAACAGTAAGGCCTGGTAAGCTAGCTGAGGAAGAGTGCTGAGAGAGCTGATCTGGCTGCAGTGCTACCATTTATTTCTCTCCATTTATTACAGTTGACTGAGGCATTCATTGTAAGCAAATCGTAATGTGGTATTGTATAGAAACACAGCTGTGTGGATTTGATACAATGTATTTCCCTCCCTTAGTGTCTGTTTCCTCTCAACCTCACTATTTTCAATCTCTCTGTCCTGCAGCCACAACCTGAGGGCTACATCATTTCGGCACCCTGTCACAGGACAGATATCCCCTGAAAACACAGAATACACACTTCAAGACAGGTGAGTCACTCTTTTTCTTCCTGGTAATGATGCATACTCTGCGTGCTTAAATGTACAGATAGGTGAGTTCAAGGTCATGCGGTTGGACTGGAGTCCAGAAATAGACTGGGAAATCACCCTCCCTGATGAAATCTATTATGAGGGGGGTGGGGGAGGATGTCTATTCAACGGTACAGTCAGTTTCAGGTAATTGGAAATGAGCTGCCAACAAAGTGAAAACACTAAAGGATAAGCATTGTAATAGTTGTCATCATATTGAATGTATTCATTACCATCATGGCATTTATAACTGACTGCACTCACTCGTCAGTGGCTTTGGATCCCAGGGACTCATCAGTATTATTCTTAAAATTATTGCCTTAATGGAATTTATGGTAATGGCATGACTGACACCCATATATGCTTTTGACTGTGTTAATATCACATCTGGTGTCATGAATCTGTCTCCTCAACAATCAGCCAAGTTATTTATTATATTTCCTCCTGGTCCATTCAGGCCATTTTTCTCACTATATTTGAAGTTATAAAAATGAAACCTGGCTTTGTGCTTCTGACTTTTTTACCAGCATTGACAGAATATCCCCAATATCTCTCTATGGCAAGCAATTCTCTCCAACAAGTCTTTGAAATAAGAGGCAACATTGGGTTGTTTTATTTGCTGCAGTAAACTGTACAACGCCATGGCATGGCAGTTGTATTTATTATTGTTGCTTTATGTCATTATGTGAAACTCACACTGCAAAGCCGTCAAAGCTGCACGGCAGGTTGAGAGCACAATATAAAACAGCAGGTGTCTGATAGTATTTAAGCTGGCTGGTGTAATATGATCATGCATAGCACAGATTCCACTTAAGGCAGATGCAGGTTTAGATACAAGCATGTGACCTTCACACTCCCACTAATTAAAATATTTTCTGTTAAAGCAATGCCTTTAAGTTCTGTTGAGCCAGGGATTTGTATATCATCAAGAGGCTTTAAAGTTACGGTTGCCTTACTTGCATATTTCACCGTTGAAATCATTGTTCTTTTAATGTGACATGCCAGTCACACTCTCTATAAGCTATGCTCAAATATCATCAGTTGTATTCACCTCTTTTAACAACATGACAAGTATGATATGAGAGGAGCAGGCAAAAGTTACAAAACGTAGTCTATTCTTATTTAGATTTGGTAGATCTTCTTACTGTTTTAGGCTGAGCATATATCCACACTTTCTCTTACTTAAGCTAAGCCACAGTAAACACATCCCATGAGTTAAACAAATCTCCTGTGATATGTTCTATTTTTTATCATCGTAAGAGGTCAGTAACTTTCTCTGTTCATCAGAGATATTGATGACTGAGAAAGATAAGTACGTCAGTACATGTTAACATTTAAAGTACTCTGTCCAACTGGTTACATCCTTTCCAGTATTTCCCTAGGTACGTTATCTGTTTTAGCATTTATATTCAGTTAGCTTTGATAAGAATGAAGAATTATTATATAACTATGTTTGTGGATTGATTTAGCCTAAGCTCAGTCTTAAACTAAGACTACTTAAAGATTGTCTGAAGGAGGAGAGTTGAAAAATAACATATTTTGTGCATATGGGTCAACTCAGTGTAAGTGGATTTTAAGCAGCTATTTTACCTCTAGCATCTAATCCAATCCTCTCTGCAGTACACACACACTACTACATGTTGTGTACACTTTACTTTTTGCTGTATTGACGCATACTTGGGTCCTCTCTCTTGCACCCTTTTTATCACAAAGCAGTTTTGGAGTTTAGTTAGAGTGTAAAAGCTGGGCTGCAGCCTTGATTTCTAATGTTTGATACACAGACATTCCTGTAGCATCAAAATGTTGCTTCTGTTAACTTTCACGGGGATGTTATCGGATTATTCTGTGTATAATGATATCTGAAAAGTAAGTTGGTTTCTTCCATGAATCATTGACTGCCCTCCAAGTAAGGAGAACCTCAGTGTGTTCCCTGGAGACCCGTATCGGATTGAGGACAGAGCGAGAAGGAAATAGAGCTTCAGGAGGTCCTTCCCCATGGCGGGGTCGATCAGCCTGTGCTTTGATGGCCTGGAGGCTTTGCCTTTGTTATAGATTATCACACTATGATCAATTCGTCAACTCACCCGTGTGCACCCAGTGCCTTAAAGGATTAAAAAATGTCAAATATGCCCTCATTTCGATCATACAGTAGCCAGAGAAGCTGAGTGAGATGGAGCTTAGTGTTTTTCCCCCTACTACACTACGTTATGTGAAATATCACTCCTCTCAACCACATGCCACAACAAATCTCCAGAGGAACTGTTCCAATGACAGTTGTGGTAAACAGTATGAAAACTTCACATAAAACAGCAGACAGAGTCCCCTTGATAGGACAGAAGCATCCTGTAAAAATGCTGGCTGCTGTCCAAGCTTTGAGTGCAGACACTGTAGGTTTGTTCCACTGTGGTCTCTCTCTTTTTCTTCTTGTTTACCAGCTTTTTATTTACTGACAAACACCTCTAGCTTATCATCTTTTCCTCAGCTTCTGTGTTTTACAGCAACACAACGCAGGAAAAAACAACAGGGGTAGTGCTGCATTTAACCCCTTTGCAGGAACAATGCAGAGGCTAGCAGCAGTGTTGCCAGAGAGTTAGGTCACACATTGTTTCCTTTTGTAAGTTCACTCAGTCAGGAAGAGGCTCTGCTAAGTACTGGACAGTTGCCGGACACTTTTGCTGGCTAACTAGGTGCAGATGATTTTTACAAATGTTGCGTAATGAATTACTATACGTTTAAAGTGATATAGTCATACAATTAATTAATTAATTAATTAATAACACAAGTGCTATTGAACAATCATAATATGAGGTTGTTTCCAGGTTTATTACAGTCACTTCATTTTAATCCATTGGTCTGCATAGTTTTATGGTTCAGTTCTCTGGAGGTTTACACAAAGTGCACATTAAATATCAGCTGGAACTGCATGTTATCAGAACAGATTACAATTCCTGAGATACATTTTTGGGACAGCACTATCTATGATGCATCTCTTTTTGAGCACAAAGTACAAGTTGCTTCAGCCTGGGAATAAAGTCTTAGAAATAGTATTGCTACATGAGAACAGAAATGTACAGTGTAAACAAAGGTTGTTTTAGGCCTTAATACCTTCTTTGTAATGAAATCAATACAAATAATTGTCACTTGACACCCAAACTTTGATTTCAACTAAGCTTAATTATCATGTTGACTTCTCTAGAATCATAGTGTTATCATGAGGTAATGAGGAAATGTGAGGTGCGATGTGGATAGCAGCTGTGTGTGTGTGTGTGTGTGTGTGTGTGTGTGTGTGTGTGTGTGTGTGTGTGTGTGTGTGTGTGTGTGTGTGTGTGTGTGTGTGTGTGTGTGTGTGTGTGTGTGTGTGTGTGTGTGTGTGTGTGTGTGTGTGTGTGTAGTGGTGTGTGTGTGTGTTGTGTGTTGTGTGTGTGTGTGTGTGTGTGTGAGAGTGTGAGAGTGTGAGAGTGTGAGTGAGTGAGTGAGTGAGTGAGTGAGTGAGTGAGTGAGTGAGTGTATTGTTGTTAGTTTAAAATAGATTGTGTGTGATGGTAATGGAAACAGATTTTTCAAAAAGAGGGTGTGGTTGATTTTCTGATCTGGGTGTGTGTACAATGTGTCTGACAAGGGTCACTGGAGTGTTTGGCACACAAATCCTCCCCAGTTAACAGATCCACCGGAGAGCCCTATTGGCTGTGACAGGTCGCGTGGCGGTGTCAGGAAATAGTCATATCCTTTATATGTGAAAGCTCAGCAGAGGGCTATGCTCTGTTTCCCTTAGTGTCTGTAGTTTGTCCGACGAATTAAGAAGGAATATCACTGTCAAATGCTTCTCATCCTGTTCGTGTTACTGATCTTCTCGTCTGCTACCTTGTCTACTGTAGGATAGAAGCCCGTATGTCCAAGTCAGCGGCCAATCAGAGATCCTCGGGCATGGTCACAGACGCCTCCAAGGCTGTGACCCCAGCAGCAGTGGAGGCCAGCTCAGTGTCAAAGGTGAGGATCAGTGATTGTCTTCACAAAGTGCTCATCTGTTTATGTGGAGCTTGGTTTTCTTGTCAGTTTTACTGTAAACTATCCAATGATTTTTTCATAGAAAATCTAAATGTTTTTTTTTTATCCTAACTAAGCAACAATTCTTCTTGGGTTAGTGAATATCTTTAGGAACTCTCTTGATGTTTGCTAATGCTTTTGTTGATAAACTGGTTAAATCAACCCTAGACATTATCTAATTCTGATTATTGGCCACAAATAGAAATGATGTACACAAGCAGAATAAAACTCAGATACACATCCTCAGGGACTGGAAAGGGGTCTGGTGTACAGAATGCATCTTTGCAAAAATACTTGCTGGTGTTTCCACAGTGATCATGGACATTTTCGCTGACAACATGTTTTTTACACTAAATATGTGACACACTTTGTCAATGTTTCAATACAACTTAACTATAAAGACGTTTTTTGCTATTTTCTTTTTAATCTCTTACTTTGCAGTAGTTTTCAAAAAGCAATTATTCAATTTAGAAATATTTAATACAAACACTTTTGATAATTGATTCAACTTTTATACATTTTTTAAATGTCAAATGCCAAACAATTGTATGGCCCTTTAAATGTTAACCGTGCTGCTTTTCTTGTCTCATTTAATAGTACAGTAAGCATCTTGTTGTTGTAAACTGTGGATCTGACAATATCGCAATATTGAAGAAGTTTCCTTGGCTTTTATAAAATACATTCTTAACTAATTTTCCTGCCATTTTATGGACCAATTTATTATCAGATAACCAGATAATGTAAAGAATAACACTTTTTATATGTCATTATTTGTGTGATTGACTCACTTTACCCTTTGGTGTTTTTTCATTTTGTCTGATTAAAACATGTCATATTTATGACTCTGTACGAGGTATTTGTCCCTTCAACATTTGTGTCTTTTTTTAGCCAGCTGGTCAACCCGACATACCCAGGTATTTCAGTAGAAATGCACCTGAAAAAGCACTATAAAAAAAAATGTAGTCTGAAATGGCCTTGTCTAAAAATATGCCTGATTATAAATGGATGCACACATCCACAGGAGTAACCAGTTGGTATTTCCTTTTTCCTCATGAGTGTTAGAAGAATGGAGTTCCAGGAAAGTTATTTTTTCCATGTTTTTACACAGTTCTACTTTCTACTAAATACTATGTTTTATCTCAGGTAAGCAAAGTAAATTGGATTACAGTTCTTCAGTAAAGCCCCCACATAATCAACTCTTTTTGTAATGCTTTCTACAGGGCTCCAGAGGATTGGGAAAAGTACACAGTTTTGGCAAGAGGGATCATGCTATCAAAAGAAATCTCAACATCCCAGTGGTGGTGAGAGGTTGGCTCTATAAACAGGTGAGCTGGTGTTCCTCTGCTTTATTGTTAGTCTTAAAGAAAGACCCCATCTGCCATGAAAAGGAGAATGTGTGAGAACTTGGTGTAAAGTTGAATAATCTATTAAATGTAACCTTTACAAATTGAATTCTCAGATGGCCCTTACAAATCTTACTTAAGGTGTAAGACACACACACATTCCTGTCCAAACTCAGAGTAAGGTTAGTTAAGGTTAGTTTATTTATATAGCACATGTTCAGACACAGAGGCTATTCAAAGTGCTTTACATCAACATTAACACACAATAGTATCATAAGGGTAAGTGACCACATGTGTGTGTTAAATGTAGACACAGCAGCTTTGTGCCAAATGCTGCAAATGAAAAATAAACCTATATAAATGGATTGTTTTAATGATATGAACAAAGCCTTCTCTCCCCCCTTGCTTTCCACTAACGGTCACTGTATTCCTGAACTACACTTTTAATGAAAAAGTGAATTGAAATGTGTTCCTGCGAGGAGGATTTCTTAACACGCTGTGTGTTGTGCTTCCCCTTTACCTCCAGGACAGCTCTGGAATGCGACTGTGGAAAAGGAAGTGGTTTGTTTTGTCAGACTACTGCTTGTTCTACTACAAAGGTGAGTCTATGAAACATGCACTTCATTAAAAAAATAAATAAAAAATGGTCGTACAAACATTCACATTCTCCTCTAAGGGAAGATTAGTATCGTGATTAAAACATTTGATGACTACATGTATGACATATCTTGCTACTTCTTATTCTCCTCGACTTTCTCTTCCTTCCACCTTCCTTATTAACTTGAGTGTTTTATTATGGGATGTAATTTGTGCTTGTGTTGCCAGAGCATCTACCTCCTCTCCACAATTAATCATACTGAATAATAGATGAGCCACATGCCACCTCGTGCTTCATGCAGCCACATGGCCTGGACCAGACAGGAGTCACCCATGATATATGCCTTGCTAATTTTCCTGCTGTTCATAAATCTGCAGTCACTTGTAAACATCGTAAAAGATCTTGGCAGAATTAGAGATTGTTGTTTGGGATTTTACAATACTCTGTGTGTGTGCTTTCTTCACAGACAGCCGAGAGGAGACTGTGCTCGGTAGCATCCCTCTGCCCAGTTATGTCATTGCACCAGTTGAAGCTGATGATCACATAAACCGAAAATACGCGTTCAAGGTAACACTGAAGTGCCATTGAATCCGAGGTTATGTCAATGGGTGGAGCAAAACGTGTTTACTCCTGCAGATTTCATTGCTACATTTCTATTTGGTAACATCCCTCACATACTGGTTTTCTCTACTGTGGTCTCGCAGGAAGGAAGAGTGGGTACTCCCTGCTGCAAATATCAATTTTTTCCATTGTTTTTTTGACAGTTTATGATTTACCATCAGGGCTGGTTATAGAACTTCAGTACTTGTGTTTCTATGGCTGCTTGTATAACAGTACAAGCAGCCATGAAACTCTGATGTGTTTGGGAAGTCTTCTTATTTTGTTACATATCCAGAAAAGGTTCAGTATGAAACTAAATGTATCTAAGCAAAATAAGAAAAAATAATGGTTTATTTTCTGCACTGAAACGGGGGTGTTTTGCATTTGATCACAGACAAATTCAACTTGTGTTCACTTTTGGGCAAGAAAGATTTTGTATTCAACTCAGCATGTGACTTAGTATATCTAGTCCAGTTGTGTAGAGTGTTGCTGAACTTCTGACCTCATGGTGGCTGATTTTTTTTTAACTCAAACCCAAGGGTGGGTGTTACTATAGATGGCTGCAGTACATGCCTTTATGTATTCTGCTCACTTGTGAATTCTGATTTTATTAACCTTTTGTGATAAGGGGCAGAAGTACACTGGCTTTCGGTAGCCCTACCAGTGTAAAGGCTGCAATGCAGTTTCAATATGGTGTGCACAGTGCGAAAACTTATTTTTTAAATCTGAATGGCACATAATAACTCGCCTATAATACTTTACCCAATACACCCAGCCCACTTTTTGTAATAATGGCATTTGTATTTTTAAATGTGTGACAGCACTTTTCCTTAAATGCGGCAAAGTCATTTTCTGTTTTCTGTCTGCGGATTTTGCCAGCGGACTGAAAAGGATTTATGTATTTTGGTTACGGCAAGGGTGTTAACAGTATCCAGCTCCTCCTTAGTGGAAACACAGAGCTTGTTGCAAAGAACAATAGTGCCTGATGTTTGATGCACCACTGCAGCTTCAGGGCATTCTGTTGCAATCCTATCAGCTCCTTTGTACTTTGGCTTTTGTTCTGGGATCCTGTGTGTACTGTATGTGTGTCTGAGTGTGAGACATGTCTGTGTAAGCGTGAATGTGCAGTACGTGTCTCCTGTGTTTTAAATATCATATAAGATACAATGGAATTTGTATGATAATTATGCTGCTGCTGGATATATTAATTATGCATTCAGCATATTCAGCGTCTCTTCGCACCACTTGCTGGGGAGTATATGTAAGGTTAGGTTAAATGAGCCTGGGCTCTGCTGCATCACCCTGTATTTAAGAGATCCCTGTTCTCCCAGCTCTCTCTGAGCCATCATGCATTAAAGAGTAGGAGATTTCATTACAGGTATCCAAGGGGCTTTGGAAATTCTCTGTTACTGCTAAGTAAGCATGACAGCGTCTCAGTTGTTGTCTGGTGTTGTTCAACAACAGGATTTTTAACTGTTAGAGCTGCTAACAGACAGTGTGTGCTGGCCTGAATAATAACACATGTTAACTGAGACTTGACAATATAGTGTAAAGTATTTATACTCAAGTTTACTTAAAGCACTGACGCCCTGATGCCATGATGATGTGTCAGAGTGTAGTCTCCACTCTTTTGATGCTGAAACTCATTCTTGCTTCTGTGACGACGGCCATAAGACCACAGCTGGAGCCGTTTATGTTCTTTCTTATTGAGTCAGCAACTTCCTGTTATTTTTCTCATCTTACTGTGTTTCTCTCATTCCCTGTTGGTCAATTGCCTCCCATTGTGACCCGGTGTGTGTGCGCGGGCGGAGTGAGTACTGTTATCTGCAGGCAGTCGTCCTCAATCACACTGGCTTCCTGTCTTGCATGACTAGGTATTTGATTTCACTTCAGCCTCATCAGTTTTACTGCCACCCTCACCTCATTTTGTTTCATACTATGCTGATAGCTGATGGATGCACATTTCTAAATGTGCATCAAAGTTTCACCATGTACAGACATGACTACAGTTATCTATGGGCAATACCAGAGCACATTGGGTTCATTAGTTTAAGTATTTTGACAGGAATATATTTGGTAATGAATTTAAAAATGAATATACCCGGTGGCTTTGGCATTTGTCTTGTGAAGCTGCCTATCATTTATCACATTGTCATTGTCATTGGAGTGGTGGTTGTCTCAGCCATTTTCTTTCAATCCTCTCTGATTTCATTGGATGTTTGGATTTGTTACTTTGGATGTTTGTGGACATCAGCAACCCCCCTTGCTGTAAATCATTTGTATTTATGTTTAACAATAGACAATACAATATATGTGTTTTTTGTTTTGAAGCAGGCTCATTATCAGATTCTTAGGTGTGATTTGCATTCACATATTGCCTAAAGATTGTTATAATGATTTCATTCCCTTTAAAGTCTTCCAAACTAATACATTCTGGTGATCATTTGTGGGTAAGGGTATTTTAAACAGCTCAAATACTTCATACAGTTTATTCACTTATAAGTTTAAAAATCACATTGACATGTGTAGATGTGAAGCCCGGTGTGATGTGCTGTGGACATTTTATTAACAGACTAATAAACGGGCAGGACTCTCTTTAAATTAAGTCTATTATAGCACTTGGTATAGAAGTGTATTACATATTTTATTAAGGGTTAATGGAGGTATTTCTGTGAGGAAAATCAGGATTGTATTTTCATAATAACTGGACCCTTTTTCTTTCACTGTGGATAACCTCTTGCAGACTCTGCCTCTTTCTATTGAGCATGTTTTGGTATTTGACTTCGTGAATAATGAATATTATACTCTTTTGACAATTATTTCTGTATATAATTCATTTCATTTTTGTGCTGTGAATGCTTTGTTGCATTGTTGGCAACCATTCATGAATATCGTTATTAGTTATCAATTCATGTGAAATAGCTTACACAAAAACATTGTGTGGAGCTCTGCAGTATTATTAAGCAAAACTACTTAATCTTTAGCACTCTTTTACTTATATTGAGTAGATATGTACCATGTTTTTGCAGATTTAAATGAGAAGAAACGAATATGCTGCTGAATGCTCCTTCACTGTGGTACTGCTGGTTGTCTGCATCATAATTGTGTTAATTTGGTGCCTAACTGTACCAAAAAGCTTGGAAAGATTTACAACACTGCATAGAACTAATGAAAGGTAAGCTAATGTTTGTGATAGGTGGTTATGTATGTATTGACCAAGTAATAACAGGTGGCCATCATTTACTTTTAGTTTGCTACTGTACGGTTGTTTGCTGCAGCTGCTGTCTATTTTTGGTGGCCTAAAGAGAGTCTTTTCCTAAAGCTTTTGGAAAATAAAACCTGTGTTATGCTCTTTTTTCTAGCCAGGAACAGCACAATCTTAATGCTGTTTCTGCTGCAGCATTTTGCTCCCTCTCTATTATTATTTTTACCCAAATGTTGCTGTAAAGTTGGTCCCCACTGTCAATTTCAGTAAACAAGAAAGAAGAGTGTTTTCACTTATCAGCCTTTCTGGCAGCTTTTCCCCATCTTCAGTAAGAAGTTCTCATATCTATCCTCTCTTTCTCCACCTCTCTCCCTTTGATAGGCGAGCCATACAGGAATGCGCTCCTACATTTACAATAAGAACTCTGTGATTGGCTCACAGGCAGAACACTGCGGGATGCGGACATATTTCTTCAGTGCGGACACACAGGAGGACATGAATGGCTGGATCCGGGCCATGAACCAGGCTGCGCTGATGCAGCAGAGTCACACTGTAAAGAGGTTGGTCTCTCTCACCAGAGTACGATTAGTTTCTCCCGTTGGCTGGGCTTCGACTAGCACCAACATTTCGCCCTCCCTAAAGCGCAGCGGTCTCTGAGAACTGGATATGTTTTAAGATTAAATCATAAAGGCTCCCTGGGTATCACAGTATTCAACCAAACAGCAATCATCCGTTTTGCTAGAGCATGTGTTGCTATAACTTAGGTTTCAAAAATGAACTTTTTCCAACCAACATGGGCTTTATTTTAACAGCTTGAGCTGTCTTCTACAGCAGGTCCATCCCCGTCCATCTGCTCTGGGGCGTGTGTGTGTCTGTCTGTGTGTCTGTGTGTCTGTGTGTGTGTGTGTGTGTGTGTGTGTGTGTGTGTGTGTGTGTGTGTGTGTGTGTGTGTGTGTGTGTGTGTGTGTGTGTGTGTGTGTGTGTGTGTGTGTGTGTGTGTGTGTGTGTGTGTGTGTGTGTGTGTGTGTGTGTGTGTGTGTGTGTGTGTGTGTGTGTGTGTGTGTGTGTGTGTGTGTGTGTGTGTGTGTGTGTGTGTGTGTGTTCTGCATATGGGTCTGTTACAGATTATTCCAGCCAATTGCCAGCTATAATTTACTAACCACATTTATTCACATTTTTGTTGACAATATTCACAAGCGATGGCATATACAGCCTGAGACTTTGTGTCTACTGAAACTGAGCTCTTTGTATTTAAAGCTGCATTAAGGTTTCTTAGATAGGCTGCGTGCACTACATGATTTAAATGGTCTTTGCAATGTCGCCACCTAGTGGCTGATGTGGCTCAACACTCCTGATATTTGTATTTGAAAAACACAGCATTTGATAAGACACCCCTTGATCCCTTGGAATTAAACATTATTACTATGGTATGTTTTGCACTTATGAAGTCATCATAAGTTCTAACAGTACATTTCCTGTGAGACTTATGTGAGGTGATCATTTCTATATCTACTATATGGTCCCCATTAGTCACCTTATTGCTATTCTTACCTTAAAGGGGACCTATCATGCAAAATGCACTTTTGTACGTCTTTTATACATGAATATGTGTCCCCGGTGTTCCAGGGAACTCACCAAGTGTCAGAAAACACAACCCTCTCTATTTTCCTCCATACCCAAATCTCTAAAAAAGGGGCTGCAACGGATCTGATAAAAACTGATCCAGATTTGAACACTGTCCTGACGTCAGGACGGTGGCGCTACGGCTATTGGGCCAACTCCACCAATCAGGAGGAGACAGTCACGGCCATTGCCGTTCGAAAGCGCTGGAGACGCTGTAGTACATATGCCAGGCCTGTAAGTGGCGCTGTAGTCTGCCACAAAAGCAGCGAAGAAGACTTGGTTACCATGGTTACCCTTCTGTTTATTCTTCGCTGTGGCTTTCTTTCTCCCTCCCCGAGGCAAGCGTTTGCTCCTGCTGCAATGCAATCCCTCCCCGTCGAGGCAAGCACTGTAATTCTCTCCGGTTAGTCCACCAGCAGATGACAAACACCCACCTCTCCGCCTCTTCCAAGGAACGAGGGGACCGTGCGGCAGAGTTTCAGTTTCAGTTTCTTTCGCCGGTCAAGATGTCCGTTAAAGTTTAAATCTTCCGGACAAAATTAGAAAAGTGCCGGTCAAAGGTCTTCTTTGTTATTTATTGAGCTTTAAAACAAATGAATAACGACTCTATATAATAAACGGAGGACGGAGATCTCTTTTTCTCCCCCTCTTCTGACAGCCCAGCAGCTGATCAGAGCACGTCTCCCCTCTCCTGCAGGGGGGCGTGGTCAGCAGAATCAGACCCGTAGACAGCAAACAGCACATAGAGCGAAATGAGGCATGGCTAAAATGCATGATCTGTTTGGTATTTTGAAAACAGAAACGTATAAATATACCTTATATAGGTATGGCCCTACAATATATCATTTAAATATAGCATGATAGGTTTCCTTTAATATTTCACCTCTAAGAACTTTTTGAAAGAATAGCACATTTATGTTTAGTGCGAATTCCCTCTGCATGCATTGTCATACAAATATGATAAAAAGTACAGATAGAAAGTAATGTAATAGCTCCCGTGGTCTCTGAGATCTCTCTGAGAGAAACATAGTTATTAATCTTACTCATTGTTTAAGTGTCTCTGTGAATTGATTAGCAAATTACCTTAATTTGAGTGTTAATTGTGATTTTTATCCATTGTATAATGCCATGTTATCCCTCTTTTCAAGAACAGTGCTACATTCCATCATACTATAAAGTGAAAAGGGGGAATTAAATGTTCAGTAAAGCCATTCATTTAAATTCTGAACAGGCAGGACTTACTTGTTTAATCCTCATTTCTTGCTTTTTCAGAGAGTTGGAGAATCCAAAGAAGGCTGTGCAGCAGGCTGTCCCACAGACCAACCACGTCCACATCAACCAGAAATCATCTCAGTCAGAGTGCCGTCGCAGGACAGAACCGGACATTGGGATCCACCTGGCTCATGGAGACGAGGTGAGGTATGGATTACAGATTCAAGGCAGGCCCAGCCAGTTGGCCGCAGAGGAAAGAGCAGAGAGACTCTCTCCAGACTCTGACGATGGTGCCGCCCACAAGAACGGACAGCAAACTGTAATCGAAGTGACTCTGCCACCAGAACAGAATGGAAATATTGTCTATCAGAGGGGATTTGTGTCGCGCGGAGTCCCTGAGAAACATGTGCAGAGAAAGAATACGCTGGCTCAGGTGCAGCAGTGGGTCAAAGTTCACAAAGGGGACCCACCAAAGAGGTTAGTTAAGGCAGTTCTTAAAAAAGCATCATCAAAATTGATTTAAAAAAAAGAGTAAATACCTCCCTCTAGTGGCTAATAAGAACACTTGTGTATTTACATTTGTCTATTTTATTTAGAAAAATCATTGTCATTGTGGATAGGTTAAATTATATTGAGAGAGATCAAATAAAAAAACATACATGTGTTTTCTGTCTCAGTGCTCCTTCTGCTGAATACCAACTCCCTCGGCGGACTCCTCCATTAAAGCCCAAAGCCAGCACAGTGGATGCCTCCCATCAGTCGTTGCCAAAGTCTCCCCGTCTCCCGTCAGGCAGCAACTCTCCTCCAGCAACATGCAACCTGCCCAGCGACTATAAGTACGCCCATGACCGGCTTAGCCACTTCCGCATGTCCACCGATGAGCGCACGGCCACTAAGGAGGGGATGGTGTGGCAGCTGTACGAGTGGCAGCAGCGGCAGCAGTTCCGTCATGGCAGCCCCACGGCCCCTATCTACACCGGCCCTAACTTTACAGACTCTTCATCTTTCAGAGTTACGGTGGAGATGCCACGTTCCCTCTCTGTCCCACCATCCCCTTGTGAAGTCCCACCGTCAATCCCCTCCTTCAAACCCCTGTCCCCTCGCAGGCCACACACTCCTTCAGACAGACGCACAGTCAGGCCCCTGGACGAAGTGGCCCCCGGGGACAGCACAGGATCCAGCTCCCCCGGCCATATCTGTCTTTCTCAGGTAGGACACCTGCCTAGGGAGGAGAGGCATCTCTGACTATTTTAGTATCCTTGGCAACATTTGTAATAATGATATTGATATTATCATTATCAAAAAGGGAATCGATAGGCATCTATTTTGATAATAAATTAATTGTTTGAGTCAGTTTTCAAGCAAAACATCAATCATTATCTGTTAAAGGATTCTGTAAACGTAGGATTTTCTGAATTTTTTTATTTGATATCTCTATCATCAGAGTATCTTGGATCTTTTGGACTGTCGGTCAAACCAAAACAATTATAATTAATAATTTCTTAGTTGCAGCACTAGCTAACACACAACATCAATGAGTTGGTGATTACCAAAGGACACCGGTGGGTTTGTTTTCCAATGTGGTGTCACACCATATGTTTTAGTTGACAATAACAAAATATTATTTTACTGGAGTCCCAACCCAATAGTCTATCCACGGGTATAGATAATGGGTGGATAGAAGTCCTGTCTTTGATACATGTATGTGCTGATACTCAGTAATTGGTGCTTTAACACTGTAAAACTGGCACATAGTAAACGTCAGTAGCCTGTCATTGGCATGGGACAGAAGCAAAATTTGATGATTCACATGCAGTGACAAAGGTCTCATTCTCACGGTAGCTCTGGATAGTAGATGTGAGGTAGCTATTGATGTGAACTTGAAGGGTGTTGTGAGCTCACAAGAACACCATGGGAAGATTAACACTAGGAGCATGAGAAGGCTCTGCACACACTTTGATGCTCATGTGAATCATTTTCAGATTCACACAGTCCACACCCAGACGCCCTCCACAGGTGGTGTGAGCATGTGTGAGTAAAAGCTCTTCACCAATCCGGCATAGGGCTCAGACAGCACCACTACCGCCGCAGGAGACAGAGCGAGGGGCCGTCCTGTCATCCACACCCTGCGCTGTCTTCCCACCACACCCTCCACATGTGAAAAGATCTCCCTCCAAACCATCACCACATTTGCCAACACACACAAGCCTCACAACCAACCCGTTGGCCTTACACAAGTAAACAAAGTGTCACAGATGCTCGGTTTCCGCCATCATTCATATGGATGTCAGCGCACTAATTATAACCATAAAATACAGTGACGCACAATTATGAAAAACCCTTCAGAAGAAGATACATTTTTAACAAAGAGAGCCACAGTGACTATGCATGGCCACTAAAGGGAGCGATGCTTATGGGAACTACATTTAGTCTGCACTGAACTTAGTTTTGGTGCATCCAGCATCTTTCAAGCTTTCTCTCTGGCTGGAGTGCGCTTAAGTAATAGCAATCTATCTGTATACCTCTGTGGGATATCATTAAGAAGTATGTTTTATTAGCGGCTAATCCAATTTGCCCAGGGCTCCTCAGCACCCTATAAACATCTCTACTGTATCTCAAACATCAGCAGCGGTCTCTTTCTTCTGATCTCGCATTTAAATAAAAAACCTATTATACAGCAAAAAAATAGTGGCATGGGAATCTCAAAGGGAATGGCTTACAGTGCTTCTCTTGCTGGTAGCAAACAAATGTTATTTTAAGAAAGCAGGTTTAGTATAATTTATGTGTAGTTAATTGAATCTCTTGTTGTTTGTGTCCTTTTAAGGTTCTGTGGTGGGCCTGGTTTTCGCTAATTCTGTGTGTTAAGCAAAAACGTCAAATCTTCCAAGCCCTGTAGCGTCTTAAACTCAGGGCACACCTTGTTTGGAATAAGAGTAGGACTGATGAAAGGGAGAAAGGGATAGATGGAAAAATAAATCTGCTGTGTAGTCAAATTTGTTTGCCGACTTGGAGGCAATGGTTTAACTTTGATTCAGTGTGATAAAGTGTTCTATCTTTCCCTTCACACGTATTTGAAGATTACTTAGTCAATTAGCCATTCTGTTTGATTTTATGAGTTCTATAATAACAAGTTGATGTATTTTGTTTCTCTGCAGACTTCCCAAATAGAGAGAAGGTCCATGCCAGGCATGGGCTACATCACGCACACTGTCAGTGCACCCAGCTTACATGGCAAAACGGTACGATCCTCTCTATTAGATGTATTACATAACTTTATTTTCTTTATTCAAGATGTCTTTCATGTAGGATTAATATAGTTTCACAGTGTGGCAGTCCAAGATAGCTTATCCAGGTTTGAACAGGAATTGTAGGGCTCATCTTGGTGACAGTATCAAGTTGTAGAATCGGGGGCTGACTGATTTGTTAAACCCCTATAAAGCTGGTTTAAATGCTATGCCATATGATATTTGTTTTCGCGTTATCCGTTCTGATAACCCTTATCTTCAGAGAACTCCTGATGGCACAATAAACCATCCTCCCACTCTCAGCTACTCTAGCTCAGCCACTGTACTGCCCAGATTGTTATCAAGTATTTTCTCTTATCCCTCTGCGCTTTCACTGGCCTCCGGGCCCCTAAACCCGGGCTTGGCTACAGCCAGAGGAGCTGACTCTGCTCCTCATTCAGCTTCGGAGGCACCAGGCCAAGATGGCTAGTGTGCATAGCCCCAGCGATGCATTCGCTCACCTGCAGCACCACCACAACGGCCTTCTAGGCCCCAGCATGCAGGTCAGGGGCCACTGTACTTCCCTAACCTCTTACAGCACACTGCAACTCCCTGCCAGTGCATTGTGGTCCCACTCTCCCCAGCCACTCCCATACATTACTTCCCTATCATTCATAAGACTGTGTGGCCTGTTGGTGTTGCTTAGTTGTCTTGTTAATGCAAACATTTTGGCATGGGCTGTTTCACTTCAGACCGTCCAGATGAGTGTCTTTATAGTTGATGTCACTCTTCCACTTTATTCAAAACACGAAAAGCTTTCAGAGGCTTGTGTTATACTAACGTCAAAAGTAATATGCCATATTCAAAGCATGTTGTTTGTCAACTATGCCTGCATTAAATACATACCTTTGTTTGGTACATGTATGACCTTGCACAGCCACAAAAGCATTCATATCTACATTTCTGTGTGCTCTGATAAATCTTCTGCTCTTGCTGTTCTCATTCTGAAGCAGCCATCAGGCCACAGCCCCCCCCACAGCAAGAGCCTGTTTGCCAACAGTGCATTGCTGCGAGACTAGCAAACCACAGTGAAGCTGCAACGGTGCTCAGTAATGACAACTCCACCCAGTTTCTAACATCCAACTCTGGCCATCTTCCATGCTTATGAAGAAATGTATACACTCAGTTTGACCACATGTCATGCACAAAAACCTGTGTTGCTCAGTTGTGTGTGAAGTTAAACATGAGGCATTAAACCAGTTTAAAATGGACATCATTCATTAATTACAGTTGGGCTTTACTAACTATGGATACAAATACAGAGGTAGCAAAGTGAACTGTAATTGAGTTAATTACAGTTCTGCTGGCAAATCCTAAACAGCAAATAAAAACCATAGGAGTCGTCTGGTCACCCATTCCCCTCTGCAGCTTCATTTCAAATGATTTATCTCTCCACTGCTCATTCAAAGGCTGATGATACTTACATACAACTGAAGAAGGACCTGGAGTATCTAGATCTGAAGGTGGGCCCCAACAAAGTAAATGCCACTTTATCCTTTTCATCCTTTTCTCCATCTCCCTTGTCTGGACTGCACTCTGTTCTCCTGCTGCTGCCTCCAACATCTGCCTCCCTGTTTCCCCTCTCCCTGTCTTTCCTCTGTTCTGCGCTCTGCTTTCTACTGTCTCTTTGCAATTGAAATTAACATGTCTATTTTAATGTCTTCTTATGTAATTGACCATTTGAGCATCAAAAGTCATTTTTTCCTTTAATAATCTGGTGAATCCAACAAACAGTCTAATGTGACTGTCATGAGGTGATAGATCTTTTTTGCTTCCTACAGTATACATCATGATGTTCAGTTTGTCAAGATGCTTTCTATTGGATAATAGTAATTGTACAGTATTTTCAGGAACAGTGGGGTGATGCTGTTATGTCACCCTATTTATGAAGGGAATTGAAGTTTTTACAAGCACATGGCTGAATTACTAGTCATGTGAACTCCAATTCCTGTGTGATTGTTACAAATTCTCTTAATTCACAGACTTATTACTGCCATATTTAAGCTATCTATCTCATTTAGCCAGCTATTGACATATTTTCCATTGACATATAATCCTAATGAATTTGTATGTTTAAACACCTCAATGCATCAATTAGAAATCTGGTTTGTGTTTTTGGAATGGAGGGGTGTCATCTAACGACGTACAGTACGTCCTATAACTCCTCTCCATTTGCTGTTTCAAAACAGATCCAAAGTATTGACCCGATGATCGTTTCAGTACACAATGTGTTTGAAAACTCGACTCCACACAGTTTTGGGTACTGTTGGAATGTAAGGACGGTGTGCATACAAAGTGAAAAACACCATTTCACTGTTTTGCAAAACGAATGTGATGCATCCCTGGAAATGATGAAGGATTTTGCACATGGATACCTTACTCCTATTGTTCACTGCGTGATACTCCAACACTGCTATGAGATTTGAGATGATGGGAAGGAAGTTATATTGGCAAAGAGCTTCCTTGCATGCTGTTAAGCATTTTTGAATGTATTTGATATCTTCAGTTTTTCTATGGTTTTGCTTGTTAAAGATGAACCAATGGTGCTCTTTAAGAATTATACGGGCAAAAGTTACATTTTAAGGCCTCGAGTTTGATTGTGGTAGCCGGCAGAAATTGACATGCAGGGATGTGTTCAACGTGGATTTAAAAGAATACTAAAGAAACTTGGTATTGCACATAAATACTGCAAAGTTGGCGATCTTGAGAGAGACAGCTTACAGCAAAATAGTCAAATAGACTTATAGCTGACTTTCAGACTGTTAGTGTTTTTGTTTGACCATCTCTAAATCGTTAAGACTCTCATCTTTAACACTGAATGTATGAGAATGAGAATGTAATTCAGTCTTTCTTTTAAAAACGTGTAGTCTCCAAGCCCCAACTAAAATATCCTGTCATCACTTCAATAATCTTCCCAGACTTGATAAAGCTCCCTACAGAACCACAGAATACATTATAAAACTGTTCTCACAGCCTGTGCAGCACTCCGCATGACGAGTAACTGACTTTGACATGCAAAATAGGTGGAATGCCCCTTTTACTGAGTCCCATTCACACTGGTCCATACCGCTGTGCTGGGTGTGGTGCTGATCCTGATGTGGGTGTGTTATGAATATTCCACCCACACTTCTCAGCTTCATGCATTACTTACTGTTGCAGATAACTAGAAGACGATATCTGTAGAACCCTGAGATATTATTCATATATCATATTATTATAATGATAACAAAAGAGGAATGTCAGTCCCTACAATAGAACGGATTATAGAAATATACAAGTTCCTGTAAAAGTATTTTATCACATTATGAATTACATAAAAGAAGGAAAAACAAAAGAAAGTATAGTATAATTGTTGTAAAAAAAATAAACCTGACCAGATATGTTTTGAGTCAAGATGGGTATATAATAGGAAAATAAAAAAAAGAAAAATAAATGTCCCCTTAACTTAGCAAGAGAATACCCATTGAAACCAAGACCTCATTTTTGATGGTGCCCTGGTTAAATAGCCCACATACAATAATTAAATGATCACAAAACAATACAAACAAACATCAATCATATTCATATCGTAAACAGTGTTTCCCATAAAATGATCAAGTTAGTAATAAAATACAGTTTCATAAAGATGCTAACATGGCCACAGACTTTTGTCAGAGGATGGTGTTTCTTTTAAAGGTGCTGCCAGTTTATTTGCCTAAAAGCAGATGTATCTAATTCTTTAACTTACATTTTACAGATCTTAAAATGATATATGTTAAATGGTGATTAGATCTGTGATTTCAGTCTCATATCGCTGACTTTGCCACAACTGTCTCTGCTCTCTGCCAGCATATAGAGTACAGCTAACTCCACTGCCATGAAACTAGAGGCCCTACAGTTGAACTTTTACACCTTTTTAAATTATAAAGAAAATGAACACAAGTAAATATATCTCCCACATGGTTCCTATGAAGGACTTGGTTCTTGGACTTACTTAAAGCCATAAGCAGCCAGGAAAGAGCAGCTTTGGGGGTTTTAAGATGTTTCCGACCACAAAGATGCAGAACTCTCTCTGCATCAATGTTCTTGCACTTCAGCTCATGTTTTAATTTTGCGTTGTTTGATCTATATTTTTTCTAGATCCATCCAGCTTGATTTGTGTCGCATTCTTGCTGTATGTGGAAAATCCACACAGCTGTTGTTATCTGTTTCCTGGAAGTACTTAAGTAGAGATACTCAAACTATGTTATTTGATTATTGATATTAAATATTCTATTTTATTTCTGGCTATTGGGAATTTCAGGTTACTGGACGTGAGAGTTTTAAAACAGAAAGACCATCAAGGCCTGTGAAAATAGCAGAAAGTGATGCTGATGTAAGTGAATCATTTTGTTCTCAGGATTTAAAGACACAGTGTGATAATCGCCTTGTTTATCCGTCTTCTTATTTTCTTTTAAGATCTACATTTCCGACTTCTTACAATCCACTACAGAGCAGCGGCTGACTTTAGTCTGTCTTAACTGTGTGTTTCAGTGTGGTTTTGTGTGTATGTGTTCTTAAGTTGTGGTAAACAGAGGCTGCGAAGGGAAGGGAACGTGTGTACATTGCAACACTGTGGGGACACCCATCCACACTGCACAGTCAGGGCCTGAGAGTATCGACCACAGCTTTTATTTTCCTCCCTGCAATTTAAAGAGAAAAATACATGTAATGGGAATTTAAGATGTTGAGCTGTTACATTTTTCAGTTTGATTTGCCTGACCCTGCTTTTCTCGTTCTTTGTTTTCTGCTGAATAGAGGTAAATAAGATGGATGTCCTGGCTTTTCATCATTAGCATTGTTCCACTTTAACAATTTATAAGAAATTGCCAGTAAATTGTCTGAACAATGAATATTTCATGCAATTAAAAACAACAATATACGGCAGCAAAATAAAAACAGCTTAATTATTAATTGAACAGAATGATAAATAGATCTGAGAAAAAAAATTCACTCTGTGAGAAAGACTGTGAACTAGGCAGTCTTATGTTGTTTTCATAAACACATAACCCATTTCTGGGAAAACAAATCTGTCACTCTCAATAAACACGGTTTTCTCCAAAAGTGAATGTGAAAATATGGATTTTTGATTATGATTACTCATAATGGGTATTACCAGATCTCACCCCCAAACTAGACAGTATAGACCCTTTTGATATTTCTCACTGCGCTGATGAGAGGAATTCCTCTGGGCTTTCCACATAGATGAGTCTTATTGACATATTTACAGACAGCGAAGACGGCGGCAGACGATCAATTTGTTTGTGTTGTTTGAATATAGTAGCATGAAGACTAGAATGGAACAGTCGAGCTGAGTAGTAAACAGATTCCATATCTCATCGGCCCAGTCCCCGCTTGTTTTTCTGTTGCATTATGGCTATACTCTGTGGTGCTCTTTGAGGTAAACAGTGAGTAATGGGAAGGAGAGATACATATAGATTTGTTTTCCCTCTGTTTTCCTGAATTCTTATTGTTTCCATGTCTTTCCTTCAGGTAAAATTAAGTCGACTGTGTGAACAAGACAAGATTCTTCAGGAGCTCGAGGCCAGGATACGCACTTTGAAGGATGACAAGGTTCTTGTTTGATACAAATATAGAACTATCTTGTTGTACAGTATGTACAGTAATTGTGTGTGTGTGTGTGTGTGTGTGTGTGTGTGTGTGTGTGTGTGTGTGTGTGTGTGTGTGTGTGTGTGTGTGTGTGTGTGTGTGTGTGTGTGTGTGTGTGTGTGTGTGTGTGTGTGTGTGTGTGTGTGTGTGTGTGTGTGTGTGTGTGTGTTAGCCTGTACATTTGTCGTCTATACATGCTTCTTGTTTCATGGCTGTTTCTCTCGTTTCCTTTTCTAGGACAAGTTGGAGTCTGTGCTGGATGTTTCCCACCAGCAGATGGAGCAGTACAGAGATCAGCCGGCACACGCTGAGAAGATTGCCTATCAGCAGAGATTACTACAAGAGGATGTTGTTCACATCAGGGCTGAAATATCTCAAGTCTCCACAGTAAGACTCAAGCATAACTCACAAGTTGACTATACATAGGATGGAACATACATCCTCTTTGATTTCTCAGTTAAAATGTGCAATTTCCATTTAGGTTTTGCAGGTACAATGCTGTAAAATAAACTGTTCAGACTGTCTCTACTTGTACATGCTACCACTTGCAGTATATTTTTGTTCGTTGGAAGCAAGAGGTTCACTTCTATTTTAAGTCGTTCCCTTTTGACGGTTTCTGCTACTGTCACTATGTTTCATATTGACTGTGACTATCAAAATGAGTGCTCGGGGAGTGACAAACCTGACGCTACAACGAAACTAACAAGTATATTTCTCCATCACACTGCGTAACACTTTAGTCAAAATATTCATTGATATTGAAAACATTCAGTTTTAAAATAACAGTTACAAATACACTGCAAGTTTACACATACAAAAAAAACAATAGCATTTTTGGCTTTCTGTGTCAAATACATTTCTGACCACATTGGTTATGCTCAAACATTTTGGAAATGCACACAGTCAGTATATTATAATAATGACATGGAAACAACAGTTCAAATCCAAGTGAATTATTATTTTTCTTTTAAGATTTCAAGTGATAGATCATGATAATACTAAACTAACTATCTACTACTTCCCACTGTATCTGACTACACATGTGCTTACTTACTGTATGTGTAAAGTGTCACCGTCTCAACGCTTTAACAAGAAGACCATTCATGTATCATTGGCCCATGAGATGAGGTGAGTATCTGAAGCTGTGTCTTGTCTCTTTAGAAAACGTGAAGTATCTCCTTGTTTGTTTTGTAGGAGATGGAGAACGCGTGGAATGAGTACAGCCGGCTAGAGAGGGACGTGGACTGGCTGCAGTCGGCGCTGCAGGGACAGATGAGCCGCAGCGACCTCTCTCAGGTCTGTGGCTCACTGATCTCTGTCGTTCCTTCTCATGGATGGGTGTGTGTGAGAATGAGTTACTCCTGATTTCATATACACAGTCAAAACAAATTATTCTAGAGGTTGTAATATGATGAGCTTCAAATGTAAACTACACTTTGCCTGGGTCCACAAGTGATTTTACAGTGTGTTAAAGATAACATGTTGTATGTGTTTCTCTGTGAGCAGCAAGAGAAAGTCCAGATCAGGAAAGAGCTGTGGAGGATTGAGGATGTTATCGCAGGCCTCAGCACCAGTAAAGCCAACTACAAAGTCACTATCTCCTCTGTTACCAACCCAGGTGAGACACTTGGAGCTTCCATGTGTACAGTACAAAGCAATTTGTTCTGTGTGATATGTGCATTACAAGCCATGTGGTTGTGCTACTGCATCTCACCATTAAAGCACTTGATCATATACTCGATACTAATGCCTTGAACATGACCCATGGGAAAAGAAAGCACTGTCTGTACAGCGTGTATTCATGTTCATGTTCATATACATTGAATTCCCCAGAGAGGAAGTTTGTGCCTTCAGTGTCGGCGTCATCAGTGCCTTCTGTGTCTGGGAGCCCGTCTGCTATGGAGATGCGGTTGTCCCAGCAGCCACAGCACAGCCCCCACCTCAGCCCCAGCACCCCCACCCTGTCCTCCAGCCCCAGCCAGCAACACTGGGTGGACGCAACCATCACCAGTGGGCTGAAATGGGTGAGTGTACAATACAGTTTGTGTAGCTTTGCTAACTAAATTAGTCACATTTTTCTTTCACATTCTAAAATAGTTTCACAAATTGTGGTCAGCACAATCACAAGATGCTTTACAGAGAAGTTATTTTTTCTCTTTTGGGTTATTTTTTCTAGTTACCCTTTTTTGCAGCACTAGTTACCTTCAAGGTTTGCAACTATCAATATTTTCATCATAAAAGTAGTCTGTTAAGGGGTATATTTTCAACTTATTTGGTTTATACGACCATTTACCCAACATACACAAAGATATTCCGTTTTAGAGGAAAATCTGCATATTTGAAGAAGCTGTAGTCAGTAAATGTTTAGCATCTTTGCCCAATAAACAATACATTTTGCAAAATTAATTGATTAAGTAATAAGGATTTCGGTTGACCCATCAATTAATGAACTAATGATATCATTAATATCTAAAGGCTCTAGTTGTATTGATAGTTTTTGGGCCATTTGTGCCTTTATTGGAAAGCAGATAGTACAGAAAGAGACAGGAAACAAGCAGAAGGAGTACTGTTACCTCACATTTGTATGTAACATTAGATAAGTATTGGTAGTTTTCTAGATTAAAGAAAGGAATGATGTCCAATGTGAGATAGATGTTTGTGATGATTTGAGTATTTAACAATGAACAGTTGTTGTGTATGCAGGGTGAGGATGATGTGCCACCCAGACCTCCTCTACCTCAGCTCTATAGTCCTGATGAGCATCCCCCTGCTGTGCCCCCGTTGCCCCGGGAGACAACAGTCATCCGGCATACTTCTGTACGCGGCCTCAAACGACAGTCAGATGAACGCAAAAGGGACAGAGAGATTGGCCAGTTCACTAATGGAGACGGCAAGGTATATAGTATGTGTATCTGTGTGTTTGTGCCGCTGATATGTCTACATTTATCTAAGGTTTGTTTTTTAATCTCTGTCTTTGAATTTCAGGTGGAACTAAGACCTTTCCTGAGCGATCCAGAGCTTATGGGAGCTGGAGACGGCTCAAGCCACATCAGTGTAGCAGCATCAGGACATGAGGGTTACCAGACATTACCTAGCAGAGGTGCGTGGATGATAGAATCAGGAGAACAGATTTATTGAGGGGCAGCTTTTTTTTTTTACTGTGTAGCTTTTAGCTAAGCTTTCCAAATGTTTGTTGGCTTTCCCCTCAGGAGTGGCGGGTTCCTCGCTGAGGCTGAATCAGTCCTCCAACATCTCCTCATATGTGACCATCCGAAGATCCACCTCAGCTGCAGGGGTGAAGGTGAGGTTCAGATATAATTAGAATATTTATATTTTCCAGTACATAAAAAGCACATGGTATAGTTTTTTTTATATTTCTTTAAAAAAGAAAAATCAATTTGTCGAGCATGAAAAATATGATCCATCATACCATGATGTAAGGACTTTGTCACGCTTCAATTTCATGGATAGATTTGAGATAATAATATTGAATTGCCTAAGATATAATCCATTTACCAAACGTATTCCTTATAATTCTTGATGGATAAGCATTTTTCTGTAAAACAAAATCACATGTAAACCGCGTATCGTATTCATTCTGATACCCAATTATGAGAAATGTCTCTGTGAATTGTCTACCGTGTTCCTTTTTCATACCTTATTAACATTAGCTTTTACCTTCTTGTTTGTTTTTATTTCCCTCCACTTCTTTGCATTCTGCTGCACCTTTTTACTCGTGTTATCAACTCTCTTTCCTCCCACTCCTCTCAGGAGAGACCAAAAAGTGCCTTGGAGCGTCTGTACTCCGGGGAGCCGGCGCAGCAGCAGCAGCAGCAGCAGCAGCAGCAGAGGGGGAAGATGAGTGCTGATGAGCAGCTGGAGAGGATGAAGAGGCACCAGAAGGCCCTCGTCCGCCAGCGCAAACGCACCCTGAGCCACGGAGACCGCCACGCCTCTCCATCCTCGCGCACACCGCCTGCACCCTCGCGCCCACTTTCTGCAGACTTGGGATCAGTATGTTACTAGAACAGTATCACATGTCACAATCTCATGCATGACGACAACCAAACCGAGAGTGGTGATCTACAATGCGAGACTTAAAACAGCAAAGTTTGGCTTTTCTCAGTTTCTGACATTACAAAGTCAACAGAAATACATTATATTAAGCAGTATGATTATTCACTGGCTCTAACTGTGCTTAATTCATGCATGTTGTTCTCAGATTTTAATAGGCCTTTTTCACTGCAGACATTTGATTTATCATAGCAGGAGAAAAAAAGCTTTTACTAAAAACATCAATGATGGCTCTGTTTTTTCCAGTAGTGTCTAGTGAGCTTTGATTCAGTATCAACTGAATGGAAATACATTTTCATTATTCCTTCTGTGACATGTCAACATATCTACAATGAAAAAGGCCTTTAGAGAGTGGCTTTACACTTGATACTTAACTGTAGCACAAAAATAGTTTATTATTAGGTGCAAATAATTACATTTACAATTATTAGGGATGGTCTTCCTGCTTAAAGCATATATCTTGCCTATCACACTCGTAACACACTAATTACCTCAGGCCTCAATGCCATCTACATTTCACATTAAACCCAATTTCTTGGTATTTTTCCCATTAATAGTTGTTAGACACTAACCCGCACCATTCTAACCCTCTCATTACTGATTTTTTCTTCATTCTGAAAGTATAATTTAACCAAATTCAATATGTCTTTTTCCAGTGGTTCTCTGCTTACAGAATAGCAGAAGAGACCTGTCTTTCCTCATTTAGATCAATGCCTGCTGTCCTTCAATTAAGTACTGTGGCTGTCTCTAAGCAGTCCATTTATGTGTGTGTGTGAGTTTGTGTGTGAGAAAGAGAGTAAAAGAGAGAAAGTGCCTTATTTTCTACTGACCAAATCATTGACGTACACTGAGCAATGCCTATTCAAGCATATTCATCTCAACCTAATCATGGCATTTGTCCTGCTTTTCTTTACTGAATCAATATGAGGATGTTCTTATGGATCTGGGACTACTGTTCTCCAATCTACCCATCTTCATTAGAGGAAGCCTTTCATTTAGACAATACTTATGTGTATGCTAATCCATTTCATATCAAAACATAGGTTAAGTGATTTCAGTGTTGCTCAATGTCTTTATCAGTTAGTTAATTGTTAGTAATAAGAATGCTTCCTTTTTCAGATGTGAATGTAAATGCAAAAAATAAACGTTATTTTCTAATGCACTCATATTGCCATGTTTTTTTATTTATTATATTGTTTTTCTCTCAATACATACAATATGGTTTTGTTTGGTCATCAGTATGAGTGAAGTGGTCGTTCCTGTCTGTCTGTCACTGTGCTGTCTTATTTATCACTGTTGTAGAGAATGTACAGCAGGCTGTGATATTGAGAGCATAGGCATGCATATTCAATAGATGCATGCTCCCTCTTTTTTCATGTTCACACCTGTAAACACACACACACAAACACTCACACACTCTGCAGCATTTCAAATCATGTTAGCATACTTATGCAATTTATAGTACTTGTGACATATAATTATGTGGGAAGGCAAGTGAATCCAGTCATTTTCAAATGTACTTGATAAGCTGTGTCCTGTTATTTGTTTAACAATGTATTAATTTCCTTTTTGTGTTGTCCAGTGGAAGAGAGAGCAGGACTTTGACCTGCAGCTGCTTGAGAGGGCTGTTCAGGGGGAGGAGGCCCAGGCAGTGAGGAGCGTTCAGGGGGAGGAGAGACCTCCCGAGCACAAGGAGAGACCCCGCTCGCACTCTGACGAATGGCTGACCCTGCGCTCTACGGCCACGACTCCTCCTGCCCATGAGGTCGACCTGGAACCACTAGACTATGACCTGGACCTTAACAAAGAGGTACGTTATCTTCTCCAAGCAAAGTCATACAGCTTTGTTGTTTGAAAATCAATACATGCATATGATAAAGGTAGAAGAAAAAACATGATACTCAACCAAGAGCAACCACAGTCCAAAAAGTATATAAAAAGAATAATGACAAAGTTTGTTCCTTTTATTCCCTTATTGCATTCAGGCCCTGGAAGCTGAATAAAAAATAACAATCTAACTGATGTCGGTGCGTGGATATTATGCTTTATAAATGCAGACATTTAGAAAAAACCTTGAATTCATCATAAGTTTTGACCTGAGCCTCAATCAAGCTGGAGAGTAAAGGCTTTTTTTAAAGTACTTATACTTTACTTTTACTTTAAGAAATGTGAAGGGCATTTTAACTCCTTCGTATATCCTTAGTTTAATGAAGGTTGTATATCCAATCTTAATCTGTGCAAGTGGATAGATCATTTTTTTGAAGTGACCAGATAGCAAGGGTGATGAAATAGCAGCTTGGACCTTAACACACACTATGTCTGTTTCGTGTAGCTTTCCAAGCCTCAGAAAGTGTTGATCCCGGAGCGCTATGTGGATTCAGAGCCTGAGGAGCCTCTCAGTCCGCAGGAGGTGGAGGATCGTTATCGTAAGGTGGAGCGCATCAAGAGCATCTTGGCAAAATCCAGGTAAATGAAGTGTTGCTGATAAACACCAGAGTGGGCTTTTGGGGAGGCCTTGCAGTAAGCCAAATTGTCCGTTTTGGCAATAACTCACCCTACAGACATTTCCTCAAGCACAATGCTAAACCTGGCCTCCTCTTTCACATTGAAGAAAACGCCTTCCCAGCAAATAATGCATTTCCACATTATTACCAATTCATCATGTTTAGTTCATTTGGTGTTTTGTTCCAGTGTGCACAACCTGGCACCTGCAGTGACCGTGGACAAGCCAGGGGTCGGGCTGGTGGCTCTGGACTCAGCGCTGCAGGAGCAGGAGAGGATCATCACCATGTCCTACGCTCTGGCATCGGAGGCTTCGCTCAAGAGCAAACTAGTCACAGGTTGGTCATTATAACAATTTTAAAAAGATTTTCTATTCCTTTGAGCCTGTAGGTTGTTGTAGGTTATACATCTTTGCTTTATAATGAATGTAAAAATCATTATTTTACAGAAACACTTAATAATAACTGTACCTGCCTGATAAAAAAAAGAGAAAGTTTGAGTCAAATTGATCCTGGCATCAAATGGACATCTTTTGGTTGAAGAGGGGATAAAGAGAGGGAGGTAGCCTTTCAAGAATCCTGGATTGATGGAGTGGAGATGAGAAGGGCGTAAGGTGCAGATTCAAGCAATAAGGCTGTTCATTTCCTAATAACTGAACATTATTCCTTCTTAGGAGCTCAGATAGTCTCTAATTGCAATCCATGTAGGATCTTTCAGACAGGGGAGGAATAGCTTGATGAGGCCATTTTGTGTGCTGATCAATGACCCAGTCAAACTCCACTCTCCTGCATACCGTTGCTGCTGCTTTGAACGCAGCTCTGAACCTGCATAAAAGACACGCTCACTTTTCATCTCTTTCATACTCTACAGCAGACAGGCAAGTTCATTTTCACTGTAGCTGCAGCAGATTGTCAGCCTGTGTGCCTCACTCACACATTTATGCACACACACACATACACATACACACACACACACACACACACACACACACACACACACACACACACACACACACACACACACACACACACACACACACACACACACACACACACACACACACACACACACACATACATCTGTCACACACACTAACACTCAAGCTGTCAACGTGTGTGGAAGCTTAATATGCACAGTGAGGCAAAGTCAACAATTATAACATTATTTCCAGCATAGAGAAATGTCAGAGAATATAACTGCTGGCATCTTGTCAGCGGAGACTAAATAAATGATTTTCTTTCTCTCCCTTTGGTGTTAAAGCAAGGTATGCTGGTGCACTTTCAAATCCTTGAATTAAAAGAAAGGTCCTTTCATGGTATTATGCATGAGAGACTTCAATAATGATCGCATTAAAGCAGGAATATGCAGCCATGCAATTATGTAAAGTATACATAAGAAGGTGCTTTTGTTTCTAGATATGTTATTCTAAATAATTTGTTATTTTTTGTTATTACTTGTCAGGACCATTCAAAGGAATCTCAAAAATATCTACAACATATTAATGATCTCAAAAAAATAAACTGCCTTGTGTAATCCTTAGTGTGTTTTTCATTATGTTTAAAGTTCAGAACATTTTGAAAAAAGAAATCAAGATTTCCAGGTGCCCAAGGCTTAGATTGCTAATTTTGTTCAAAAATCTTTTAGTCTTAGAACAAAAAATAATGTTTTACACAGAGAGCAGCAAAACCTGAAATGTGTGTTCTTGGCTTCTGCCTAATAGCCGACTAAAATGATTAACTAATCATTACTGTCAATCAACTCATCAATCTACTAGCTCTGTAGTAAATGCTACCAGTTTAATGCTTTATTTGTATCATGCCATTGTGGGCAATGCTGCTGATTGTTTAGCAGATGAGACTTATTACATTATTGGAGATACATCATCACTGTGATGGAGTACATCAATGCCAGATATTCCCATTGCTAATTGCAACTTACATTCTTTTGTAAACTGACTTTCTAGAAAAGCAATATGAAATGAAATATACAGTGACTTCATTATGTATTCATGTCGCCCACCCCCTGTGTCATTAGGTAAACAAACACAGAAGTGTAGTTTTCAGGACAAAACATGCACCAGTTTTAGCCTTCAATGTGACTTTAACAGAGTTCGCCATGTGACTAACAAACCAATTTGATTTTCTCTTTTCTGTTTTTCCTCCTGTCCTCTTCTCGATAGTTCCACCACTGGCTAACATCCCCACCTATCCTCCTCCTCCTCCTCCTCCTCCCCCTCCCCCTCCTCCTCCTCCTCCTCCACCTCCACCTCCACCTCCTCCTCCACCTCCTCCCCTTCCTCCTGCTCCTCCTCTTCCTCCTTTCCACCCTGCTCCTTATGTTCCTCCTGCTCCTTCGGTTTCTCCTTGTCCCTCTGTGTCTCTGGCGCCTCCCTCTCCTCTAAGCAACGGAATTCACTACACGTTTGTCTAACCCAAGAAATAAAGTAAGGCCTAACTGCATGTTTTACGGTGTTAATGTTTCCAAGACCTCACTAATCCTCTGCAACACGGTGCTCCTGTGTGTTCTCGCTGCATGCTTGCTGCTCTGTTGTGATTGTAGGAAACACATCTTGTCTAGGTTAGGGAAGCCCTGCCTCTGCTCCCATTATAATCAAAACAAACATCTGCAGGCAGTCTGCTCATCCCACTGTGATAATTGTCTGTAAATTGATTTTCTCTTTTTTCTTTTTGTATCACTGCCAAAATATTTATGGATGGTTGAGGAAAAAAAGGGCTGAAATGAACATGACTGTTGTAGCATTGTGTATAATTAACAAAGGAGAAACCTTTTGATTTAGCACCTTGACAGTTCAGTAGTCAGCACAGCTGCATTCACAGCTCCAATTAGCTCCCCATCTGTAGTGTGGCCTCGCAAAGTCAGAAAATAACACAGTAGATATCATTGTTGTTACTGTAAACGCATTAACAAAGGTTTACTGCCTTATTAATCAGCCAACAATGAGTGATAACTTGATTTTTTTGCCAGATTTATTTCTATAAATAAGACCATTATCCTTCTACAGGTAGGTTAAATATGTGTATTTATTTCTGGATATAATTATAATGTGTAACACTGTTAGTTACTGATTTAAATAAAAAACAATCAAACACAATGACCAAAGTCTCCACCTAGCTGCCTTTTACCTCTTGGTATCATGCAGCATTTATGTCATGTAAGAGGAAGTGAAAGCAAGTTACTATTTGCATGACTTGAATGTGTCGTTGTCTACTATATGAGGAATCTTCATTCCTTCGAGAAGTTGTTCGACCGCATGCTTCACTGTGATTGAATCATAATGTACCTCTCTCATCCCATGTTCATTTCTGATGTTATTATATGTGTTGTTGCAGTTGGTTAAATGTTATTTACACTATAACTACACAACACAAAGACAGTCAGGATAGACCATTAGGATTCATTTAAAGGGAAGTAACTAAGAACCACAACACAGAGATATCCCTATCAGTGTTTAAAGTAACTTTATTGTTAATAATGTCAGCATAACTGTTTACCAACTACTAGCATTGAAACCAATATATATGATACACTGTAAAACCTTCTTTTCAACTAAGAATTCAAACATTGAGTAAGAGTATATGTTTACTTGAATATCACGTGTTAACAATGAAAGGAATGGAAGAACCAAGCAGTGAATGAGAACCTTTTCATTCATTCATTTGTGGTACTTACTTTGTCTTTCTCTCTGAATCACTTCTCAGCTCAAGCCATTTCTGGACACTGAGGTGCTATTCCAAAATGACAACAAACACCTGGGATCTACAAGAAAAGAGGATTTGGGGAATTTTACACCGTTCCATAGAGCAGTACAAGAACGTTACTAAACCTTTATCCTGCTCTCTGAGGCTCACGAAGCATTGACTCGTTAAAGATTTTCTAATTTCTGAAAACGATGGAAAATGGAAGACTTTGCAATGGGCGCTGATGTGCTTATTAACTATGGGAGAGTCTAACCAATGTTAATCTCACGATAACATTTTCTACATTTGATTGCACTTTGAATTGTTCACTGTATCATGTTTTCAAGGTATGACTGAATCGCTTTTGTCTGCAGTGTGATCTCAACTGGGAACCTGTTTTTGTTTGTTTGTTTTTGTCAGGTACAGAATGTTAAGAACAAAAGGTACGAAATGCGTCATGATGGTAGTATTTTTGTTAAAGCTCAGATAATATTCTTACAACAAACCACTTGAAATATCATATGTATGTACCTGTAGCACTGCCAGTCTCCTTTTAGCTTGCCAAAATGAATTTTATTTTTGCTTACATCAGAAGAAAAATAACCTTTAACATATTTTCTGTGTGACTGGGAAAGGTTGCAAATGGAAATTTATAAAAATGTAAATATTAAAGATATTAACACAATATCTGGTTAGTGAAATATGTATTATTTTATCATTTATATTCATATTCATTTCATTTTGTTTGAATGAGGTAAATAGCATAATCGGCTAAGGTGTCCGATAACTACCACATGAGCCAGAAGGAAAGGGAAATTCAATAATCCATGACCTTCAGTTTATGCATCTGCCTTGTAATCGACGCAATTTAGAAAGGCAATATTAAACTAAATGATTAACTTTTAACCTAAAATAGCCTTGGCTCCTTATCATATTATATTATATTTTATATTACTGACACATTCATTGAATGTATTTTATTCTAATCATGTACAAAGAAAAGTACAAAATGTGGACTCATCATAGCTCCAGGATTCTCTTTGAACCTCCACATTGATTGCCTTGACCCATTAAACTTCATTCTATTATTTGAGAAGGGAACAAAACTAAGGCATGCTCAAAGGAGGTGAACTCTCAATACAAAAAAGAGAGGCTTCTTGAAATGTTTTTTTTTAAGTTCAAAGCTTTTTCAATCTCAAAAGGGCATTTTTAATTCCATGTATTTTCAACCAAGAAGGTGGATACTAATAACTCTGGATTCTGAAGTACAGAAGTAATATCTTTAAATCATGAACCATGTCTCCCTTGCAATTGTAAAAGAAACCTTTTGAGAAATACATGTATTGACCTATCTGATCAAAAAATAATAATATAGAGACAATCATTTGTTATGGAAAGTGCTGTTATTAACAGACTGCCATTTTCAGCACAAATATGTTGCATGTTTATCATGAAGAACCCTGGAACATATGCTGATAGGATGTGATGCAAACACTATTAAAGGCTACAACGCCCACGCCTGATAGTGAGCCGTTGTGTTGCGGCTCTCTCCCAAGTGACATCTTTATCGTTAATTCGAGAGTAATTACTTTCACTCGTGTGCATCATGGTGCTCTTTGAAAACACCTGAGAGAGCAGCCTCTCTGCCTCCATCTCTCCTCCAGTATCGGGGCCCCACAGCGCCTGCTGGCCCTGGTGGCTAGAAGACCCAACACATCCTCTGTTGTGCTTATTTTGCAATAAAATGGGATGTTTTTCCCTCCTCCTGCAGAAATTCACCCAAGACCCTCCACTGAGGATTGTGGCATTTCCATGTATTGACGTTTGGCTGGTGGTTCATATACATTTGTTATTCTATGCTCTGGACTTCAAAGAGAATGAAAGAGGGCCTATTATGCTAATAAGGTCCTGTTCTGTTAAACGCAATCAAGGCCTCCCGCATTAATCCTTAACTAAATACTTACTGGATTCAGAAATGCTTTTATCAGATGCAGAGAGACACATACTGCTTGGATTCATGACAGGGATGTTTGTTAGAGAATATTTTTTGTAGAAGTAAATAAAAGACAATAAGTAAGCAGCAGTAACTCAAATGTCTCAATTTAATTAGCAGTAAAGTATATCATGTCAATGTAAAGTGACACTGGTGAGGTGAAAGCTTTGACTTTGGTTGCTTTCCTTTCTGCCTGCTCTGTGTTGAAAGGAAGAGCCCATTGAGACCATGCTGAGGAGTCTGACCTTGTTCTCAGGTCCGTATTGTTCACTGCTCTGCACACTGCATGTGTAACATATTCACACTTTTCCCCTGATAGGGGAAGAGAAAGAAGAAATCCTACACTGATTCCCAGAGATACATATTTCCATCACATAAATATTATTGTTACTTGCCGTGAATGTCTGAGGATTAGATTACAGCGAGCGCCTTCTTTGTGCACTGTGGGGATCCATATTGTAGTCCAATTGTACAAATACAAAACCAAGGAGGCTATGCAATAGGTGCTTTGATTTCAAAATAGTATTTTATGCTGTTTTATCATTTTCAAGCTCCACATACGGTACATTTTTTAATATGTAAGAAATGGAATGGTGATTTGTTGAATAATTGAAGAGTTAGGAATCACTGAATATTTTTCCCAATGTGTATGCATGCTATAAAAAGAATAGAGAGAAAGCGGAATTACAGTCGCGCTGCACCACACTGACTTACTATTTGCAGAAACTAAAACAATGCCTTTGTGTAATCTTTCATTTCAAAGCATTCACAATTGCGATATCATTGGGGAGATGAGGCAAATGTAAAAATATTAAATATTGAAAAGAGAACACAATTCCTTTGACATAAATGATTAAGCCTGCGTTGAGAAAGTGCTGTGTAAAATTAAACAATGAATTAATCTCATGTCCCTTAAACGGAAGGCTTTTACAATACCTACAGTGAATTGGGCTTTTTGTACATAAAAGCAATTGCTTTGTAAATGAACCGAATGCCCCCGGGCCTCCTCTTTAATCTAGCAGCTCCTTCCACACACACACAGACACACACGCGCACAAACACACACACACTGATCTAAGTGAAATTGAATATGTTTAGCTACTCAAACGGAAAAGGCTACAAATGCATTCATGGATCTACAGTGCACTATCACAGTGATGCATCAGTCTATTTCCATCCGGTTTCTTTTACATTTCTGATACATCAGTTAAATTAAAAGAGAAAAATGGTGTGCTCACTGTCGTATAAGGCCGTTACCAGAGATGCATTTGGACACAAAATTTGATTAAAAACTGCATTTTGATAAAAAACTGATTCCATGTCTCGTTTGCTGAAAAAGAAGAAGTTTTCACGTTACAAGATTCTTCAAAAACCGAACAGCAGGTAACGTATTCAGAAATACACAACATAGTACAATAAATCATTGGTTTAACGTGTATTCATGAGTACTACAGAGTTGATATTTGTAGTACTGTTGGCACTGGGCTGTATGATGGTGTCCCTGATAAGTATATAATTAGAATTGGCATGTTGCACTCCTTATTGCAACATGATTAATCAGTAGTTCTCTGTTAACTTGAAAGGAAATATTAGATCCTGACTAAACTTTGATGAAATCCAGAGTTACAAGTAAGAGATTTGGGTCAACTAATGAGAACAGAGCGTCCCACTTTGCAAGTCCGATTGGGAGAGAGGCGATTTGCATGTATGCAAATAGTGTTTGAGTTAATTGCATAACTTGGAATTCAATAATAACTAAGTCAGTCGTGTTGGTTTTGTGGATGTCGGACCATGTCCGTGGTTGTGACCGTCTGCAGAAATGTTTCCCTAATGGCTTGTAAGGGTGCTCACAGAAGTTTACTTAGATTTGTGTTATTTCTCATCAATGAGGATCTGCTTAAAGTATGTGACACAACAACAAATCCAGAAGAACTATGTAACTGTTTACATATCAAGATCAACATCTTCTATATTCAGACATTTAACACAGAGATGTGTCTATCTTTACATTTTCATGTCACTCTCAAAAAAAGTAAATGAGCAGAGCTTCCAAAAAATGTCTTTCACGAAGAACATTTCCAAAGCCTGTTAGGCTAAGATTTGACTTGTCCATGATGTGATGCTTGTAAACATCTTGATCATTAAATACAAGTGTGAAACAAAGGTGTCTCTGCTCATCAGCACATTCCTTTAAGTCAGGATAGAGCTATACATGATGATTAAGAATATATGAAGATGAAGATATATGAATTAAAGATTTCACTCAAGTTTAATAATAAATATGTTTTATGTGATCATGCACATGTTACAATCCTTTTTAGGTTAGGGTTTAAAATGATGTAATGAAAAGCATTTCTAAGATATTTATACATAGGCTCCTAACAATTTTACAGTGTGTTATAAAGCACTTGGTTCACATTTACAACAGATTTACAACTGTTTCAAATGTATTTAAAACTACTGAAGACTTACTATATATGATAAAACTATATTATACAATGTTAACGTACACGTTATCTGACATATAAACACTTAAATAAAGCCCTAATGTCTGCAACTGAATCATAATGTGTTACTGTGTGTAAGAAATATTTCCTTTGAATGTATGCAGTTTCTATTGCTACATAGTCGGGTGTTACTAGGTCTATGTCCTGCCACATGTGAGGCTTTATTAGTTTAAGGGTATGCTAAAAGGTGTGAAATACAACTCATTTTCTCTTGGATAAAGTAGATAATTGTGAATTCTCATTCAGAATACAAATCACTGTATTCCTGTGCATGAATCAGCTGCACACCTTTAAAACCTGCTCCGTCTGCACAGTAATCAAAGCAGCCTCCCCCCCCCCCTCTATCATTCTCACTCACTGACTGAATGCTCTTCTCCAATTAACCATGCAGAACAGGAGAAGAACACATGTTAATTTAATGTAACAAAAATGTTGATTTTCATGCACTCTCCTTTTCAAATATTTATGGGCTAGACTTGAATTTCAAGATGCATCAAAGACTCACAGTGTATGCAAATGTGTCTGCCTTACCCCCCAACAAGTTGGACTGTCTTCATGCACTCCACCATCTGAGCTATGAAGAGGAAGCCATTACAGTCACCTCTCTAGAAATAGGAGTCTACATTTGTGTTTTGAGAACTGTACAGAGTTTGTTGGCACCTGCTCAGCTGCACCCATAACTGTCTGGTGGTAAATTCAACAATAAGAAAATAAAATTAGTTTTGTCTTCTTGCATCATTTTTCTTCCAATGCAAATAACATTCATTTTCAAAGCAGCAATAATGCAGTCAAAAGCAGAATGCTGAAGTGTTACAAATATATGATTTCACTGCTAAGATGCAATTTTTACAATACAATTTAGTCAGGGTTGACTACATTTAAACATCAGATCAGGCAGCATAGAGTTTACCAGAAAATAGGCTGAATGTCGTGGCACAGATCCTCTGATTTTTGTCTCTAATACAGTCATCTGCTGTTTGAGGGCTTGAGGAAGTACGTAGGTGTTTCCTGTAGTGACCAATAGGTGGCGTATGAGACACGTGAAACACACATTTCAGTCCCGGGAAGTCCGCTCCTGCAGAGTCTTCACACAGAACAGATATCACATCATGCGTGGATCTGAACAATTCAGAGTTAGATGGTTGGAGAATTATATCTAATTTCAATATACTGAGGTGTTTGAAACA